TTATCATAATGTTTTATCTCAATAAAACCCATTTTCTTGTATACTATTTGTCTTTGTTCATTTCTGTATTGTTTTTTTATGCAAAAAAAGACTAAATCTATGTTAAATTGTATTTTGGAATGAACTATTCTTAAATTAAAATTAGACGCTTAATTGCCAATATAGACAAACTACATCATAAGTCTGGCCCTGTACTCTCATTCTTCGTCTTCCATCCGAAACAATTACCTACTGTGAAAGAAATAATACTCAATAAAATGAAAAGACACGTGTTGTGAATGAAGCTTTGTACTTGACATTGTCTTTTATAATTTGGTCGTGTATTACTCATTTGACAGTAATTGTTTCGGGCGAATATCGGACGGACAACGTGAGTAAACGACCAGTTGTTTTACTGGGTCAGTCAAAAAACAAACGATTGGTATGGCCTCTTCTGACTTAACCGGAACGTCACGGTCCATTGGTTACTCTTCATATTTAAACAAATCAGATAGGCTCTAAAATTATATATTAAGATCGCACATTTGTTCGGCAAGTAATGTAACAACGACAAGAAATTCTAGACGAGGATTGCATCATTCGTATCCTAGCCTTGCTTTAAAGATTCTTCAAAAGCAATTAGTCGATAACTTGAGGAGAGATAGGTACATATCTATATAATTTGTTTTCAAGCATTTTGTCGTATGATCTCATGCGACTTTATTATACCAAAACTTCGAAATTTCACAGGGTACATGGTACAAGATCGATAACAAAAGTTATTAATGAAACCCTAAGCTCAACTAGGGATTGCACCTTTGTACAGTATGTGTAATTCAATTAACTTCAAATTGTTTGTTTCAGAATATGTCCATAGATGTTAGTTACAAAAAATATACTTGTAACCTATGTTAGTAATGAAAATTATCATAACATTCAATAAAGTAAAGAAAATTGTCAACCACACCAAATTACAAAATAAAGTCAACATTTTTATTAGACAATAAATTGAAATATACAGGTAACTTACAATAAAACCTAAATACTAGAAAGTAAACCTAGGAAACAATTACATGAATAAAATTGGGGCCCCGCGCCACGGTGCCCAAGATGCTGGCAGCGTTCTCCCTTTGTATGACTATGCTAATTCGTTGGGCAAGGTAGCTGCCGGCTATTCTACATTTGTACAATGGTACAATTGTAATTATTACTAATTACAATAGTACAAATTCAATTGTACATTTACATTATATTGTAAATTGCTATAATATAAATTGCTTGCATTATATTATAAACTTGGTTCCACGTGTCGCAAGCAGGGTCTCTCCCAAATCTCCCTCCAAAACTCCCAAATTAACCGTACGAGTCTGTTGGAACCGTCACGCACGCGACGCGTCAGGGAGGCAGTTCTCTTGCGTACTATCGCGCTGAAGCAAAGTATAGATGTTACTAAAATTGAATAGAAACCAATACTGTAAACCAAAAACAGAAACATTTTGAAATTTTGTTAGGGAATCGATTCTTTGATGATTGATTGAAAAGCTGAAACCTGGTGCGTGCGAAGTCGGTCCATAAACTAATAACTGCTAAACGTATCTCACAGGAAAATATGTGCAAAAAGTTTCACTAAAATCGTTCTTTTAAGAAGTTAGTACTCATTAATGACGTACAAGTTAACCACTAAGGTGAACATATTATTATGTTCACTAAATTTCATTTACAATATGATTCAGCGTTTTATTAAAGGGAAAAACCTGTTCTTAACACGGAGTGAGGACATGACGTTTACGATAATGCCATCAAGAACTGTGGTTGTTGAATGACCTAAAAATTTCTCCAATACAATCTTTAGCACTATAGGCGCTAAGCATAATATATAATAAGGCATAAGGAGTAAAATCCATTATCACAGATTAGCACAGACAGGACTATTCTTGGGAATAACCCTGATATTGTGGTATGAGATCGATCGCAGTCGAGGGTATTTCATTTTCATTACCATCCCACGTGACGAGGGTCTCGTGAAAGCCGTAACCGAGAAACTTTGGAAGTATCTCGATTTAGCGCACAAAATCACTGACATGTTGGATGTGGCCTCCAATGCAATCCCAAAATTGTTTTGTCAGCAAACGGGTTAATTCCAGTCAGCGTCGCTAGCAGCTGAGGCTTTGAATTTCGCTTTGAAGATCGCTTTCAGCATAAATGCAGAAAGCGATCTTGCACGATATGACACCTATTGTTCATGACCGGGAAATACCGGTTCTCCTATTTAAAAATTCCAAATCATCTTTTATTCCATGGGAGAGGTAAGAGTCTAAAATACATATCCATACATAATAATAATAATAATGAATATTGAGCAAAACATACTGACAAAATAGCGAACAAAAACTAACCAAGCTTCAATAAGGCTGTAGTTTGTTGAATTAAATTCAAAATCTTTTTTCTTTGATTGAAAGAGCGGCTTCCTTGAGGCTCAGAATTAGTGGCAGCGTAACAGCTTCCTGAGTGTCATTGTTCACGGTCCAAGGTTCTTTCCATGCGCATTGGACCCGAATGCACATTATAATGTATCAAAAAAGAGAATAGTTATTTAAATGATTATTACTAATTACAGGTTTCTTACCACGGTATGAGTTCTTTTATTTTCCAGATATTTCGGAACGGTTACACGCTCCATGGTCACGGGTTGACTGATCTTGTAATTAGAATCCTCTATAATCCATTTAGTGAATAACCACGAAAGCTTTAAGAATAATTATTTGTAATAATAATCCTATTATAAGTGTACAAACCCCTACAAACCCCTGAATGAATTTCCGAAATATTTTTTATTTTACTTTATGATTTGATATGAATCTATTTGGAATATGAACTTTTTGAATTTTCGTCTAACATGCTTTCCAAGATTATTGGCGCTCAAGTAAAATAAATAGAACACGGCATTATTAAGCAATATTATGCAACTAAAAAAAAATTAATATTCAAGAATATTTTGAAGATAAACTATTTTAGAATAAAATTGAAATCAACTATTATACACATACACAATTTAATACCCTTTGACAATTTGTAATAATCTTTATATTTTTAATTTAGCTAATTTAAAATAATATAATTTGATAAAATAATTTTACTTAATTGTACTTTTGACTATTTGTAATAATTTCCAAGTTTTTAATTTATCTAATTTTAACTGAAATATAATAAATGGAAATACAACTTTGGATATATTTAGAATGTATTTAAAAATTTACATTGCTGTGCCGTAACAGGGTTCATGTTTGTTACTGTATTGTACTAATTTAAGACCTATATTTAACAACATGTATGCAATAAAACATTTGAATTTGAATAAAAGAGCAAACGGATCGCCAAATAATATGCCACCGAGTTCAGATTCATTACATTAAAATCATAGTACAGGGAATTCCATAAATTTGAAACCAGGAATTGATGTGATTGTGTGACACTAACGGTACTTAAAACCCTCCTCTAACACAAAAAAAGATACTTTAGAGAATCTTTCGTAACATTTAGTTTCCGTAGCAGTAGAGCTCTATTGTGAAGGAGTTTGTCCAGGGAAGTACTGCCACTTTGCGTATTTCTGTCACCAAGCAGTAATGTATGAACAAGTAGTATTGTTTATGGTAAGCGGAACACCTGTTCATAACAGTTGCAGTGCCGCTCAGAGCTTTAAATTGCAAAGATCTAAGGGGCACTGCCACTAAGCCCGTCACCCTGAGACATAAGTTGAAAATTTCACTAGTACCCTTACCCTTCAAAACTGGATCGCAGTAATGCTCACATTACTGCTTGGCGATAGAAATAGGTAAGTTGGCAGTACTTCCCTGACGAACTCTTTCACAAGGAGATTTAGTGCTACTAGAATCTCAGGATACAGTAATAATAATAATAACGCACACACCCAACATTACCCCGCACTAGGGAAACCCTGTGTCTCGAGTGCCATGGACACATAGAAATGTAGGCCATACAAAATTTATCTCGGCCCGGGAATCGAACCTGGGACCTCTGCGTGGCAGTCCGGCGTGGTAACCGTTTGGCCACAGAGGCAGTTAGTTGGAGTGCAGTAGCAGTGACCCTCAGATATTTAAAGCTGAATAATAAAAGCCGAGTGTAGGCATGTCGTTTGCAACCAGGCGCACTACTTGTACATCCCCTCAATGGATATTAAAAAAAATTCGCCCATGTCTTTTTCTCAATACTTACTTTAATATTACTGACGTTAGCATTAAAGACGTGTCATAATGCCACGTTGAATGATTCAATGCAGTATGAAGATCCTAGGTCCTTATCCTCAAACCTCAACCGTAACGACCGTGTTAGAACTACCTAACTCCCTGCGGTCAGATTGACCTCAAGGACTTCATTAGGAATTAAGGATTAAGTAGCACAAACGTACATTTTGTGGTTGACGTATTGTAAACGACCCTGGCAAATTGATATTAACATAAGTATTACGGACATAATGTAATCAGTATCCTGTGTGACCTACCAGTTAGTTACAGTGCGTGGGCTATTTCACATATTTGATTTTTAGTCGTTACAACTATATATAAGAACTATGCAGTCTCACAACGACAACATCAAAATGTTTGCGAAATTCTTAACGATTAAAGTATGTTGACGTACCTATGCAACTTTGTGTAATATGTTATGTAATTTAAAACCAAATTCTAAACATATCATAAATATTTTTAATATGTTATGTAATTTAAAACCAAATTCTAAACATATCATAAATATTTTGTAATTTAAAAGAAATGTTTTTGACAGAAATGTCCCAATAAACGTACTTTTTTGAGACATCCAATCTTCACTATCCACGCATACATACCTTAACTATATAATAATATATCTCGTACAGAAACGTTCAGGGATTGGAAGCTCATATTTTAATTATAATTGTGTTGTACAATCTTGAAATTGTTTTTCTATATTATAGTGCAAGTTGTTTTTGTGTAAATGTACGAAATAATTATTTATTTGGATTTCAGCACCCAAACCACCCAAACACCAATAGTGAGAGCGATGTAGAGACGGTGGCTACACAGCCACTTCTTGAACCTGATAAAAAGAAACAAAAACCACCGTTGGCAGGTGAGGTGTAGAATTAAGTATAATATAAATCATTTTACAATAAAAGCTGCCACTGTTCGTCGCAATGCTTACAGATTTCGTATATAATATACAATTTAAACAAAAATGCCACGCTTTTTCACACATTTTGTTGCTCCCCGCACAGGCCCTGAAGTAGACGACCTTGATGATGATCCTGTAGATAATACTCCGTTTCCTGGTATAGACGATGGCCTGCTCGAGCCAGAAAGCAAGAAACCCGATAAACCTGAAGACCATGATGACGGTAGGTAAAACTTTGAAGTCCCGAGAAAAAGACTTACCGCCTGCTGCTTATTTAGATAGATAAAAACTTTAGATCAATTAAAACTAACACTATAATTACTATATTTATTAAAAATAACAAATTTAATAACAAAAGGAACATACAATTTTTCATATAACTAATTATACTAAATAGTTTTGGAAAAACGTGGCAGTGAGAAAGCGCTGGCTCAGCTTAAATGCCGCGGTATTCTGCCAGTACCCTGTTAAGAGAAATGTCACTCATCATCTCAAACTGTCCTTTGGCGTTAATTTTGATAAAGTATCAAAAGTATTTAAAGTCTGACAAATAAAATATATCAGAGGGGACGTTTCGTAATCACTATTTAGAAAGCTTCCAACCGTCCCGTCCAAACTATAGCTATCAAGCATACTCGTCAGAGATAATTATACAAAGTCGCACACTGTTCTTAAACGCACAAGGTCTTAAATTAACTTTATTTAATATTACTAATTTAAACTTAATTTTACTAAATTAAACTAAATTTGAAGAGTTACACATTAAGTAGGTACCGAATACCGCACCCTCAGTAATAAAATGACATAATTCCAAAAGTATTTTTGTTCCCAAAAATATAGCTTTTCGGCTAAAAAAAAAACGATATTTATTTTATTTCCTTATATAGTCCGAATGATGTGAAATTTGGTATACTATGAAAATCCGATGACATTACAATAATAATATGGTAACTTTGATCTGATGCTGCAACCAGGACTGTCTGCAGACTACCCGACTCCTCGACTTCTTACAATAGCAACGTCGCGTTCGGGTTCATTAAATTGGTGTCGAGGAGTTGTTAACTTTCATATGGTGTCTTTTGAATTGTCGATATACCTACACTGTTTTGTAAGGATATATTTTTTTAATTTTACTCTGTTTTATTCAGAATTTGGTCATTTTATTATCGAAATATTGCACTCGTAGTAATTAGGTACTGTAACATCAAAAGCTCTTATAAAAACACTACCATTATCATTTCAATATACTTATTGTTCCTATGTACCAGTAACCGCCACTGGTTTTCGATAAGAAAGTTCTCATTATCAATTTTGTAGCCCACCTCATTTTGTACATGTACACAGGACGCCAATATTACATGTCAAAAATAAACTCAACACTACGTTAATTGTACTAAGAACTATATTCAAGTGTAAACGTGTGTTGAGTATGCTGTTGATTGTACATAAAGTGATATGGGTGACCACAATGCAGGGTCAAATGATAAAGTTGACAATAACATTGATAAATGTCCAACATCCTGAGTGACAAAAATAAAAGGTAGGTAAAGTAATTGTCTGGCGCTGTGCGAAGTCGTTGCCCTAATTCTGCTTATTTTTAATTGTAAAACCACCACTCCATCGAGATATTGCAATTATGACAACATTTGGTATTCTGCTAAAATCTAGTTGCAATGGCAGTTGAGTCTCAATAGAATATCATTCATCCAATCACTAACGATCAATGTGACCTTAGTAAAACTACCATGGAAATTACTATGCACATCATCTGAATTTTTATCTTGTTTAAGCAGCGAGTTAGTGTTCAAATTAAATATATTTATGTTTGCCAAATAATTAGTAGACTACGTCATTGACATGCCATTGAAGAGCAGAGCACCAAAAAATTGCAATGACAGTTGAATAGTAAGTTCCCATTATGTCTTACGACATAATGGGAACGTTTTATTTATCGTTAGACGACTGTCGCGTCTGGCCTGGGGGTCGATTCAGAACCTTACTCAGTTGTCGACCGAATCATTTGATATCGTACGATTTCTTTTAATTTCTATTCACAACACCCGAATCGAACGTCAAACTGTCGTATTCGAAACCGAATCGAAATGACGTCACACCCGTACGATTACTCGAACTTCTCGACCGGCAAAGGCTACAAATGTTATTCAGGACACAGTTATCGAGTGAAAGTTACCGAAGGTCCTATTGTTTACAAAGTAAGAATGTAATATGGAAATCTCTTATTACATATTTAAAATAAGGTCCGGATTTTGTTCAATTTTATTAATTTATTTTAATGCAAGACTAATGCATTCCTATATTAAAATATTGGCCTTTAAAGTTTTAAAAATGTATATAAAAGGATTTTCATTTTTCTTACAATTTATTTCACTGACTAATTCCGCAAACGCTGTTGGATAACGATATCGTATCCGAATCCGAATCAAACGTTTAGCTTGAATGTTCTGAATAGCTCGTAAAACGCCCTTCGATTCGAGAACGATATCCTGTTCCCATAACACGACTATCAGTGGACGTTTATTTTATCGTTGAACGACTGT